ATAGATTAACCGTGGGCCAAATACTTACTTGTAGATCACTTCGGATTACATCAGAGGATAATTTCAAATGAATTGGGGATTTATATGGTTGTTAATCGCCATGGGAAGACCATCTGCACAATTTTGGTACAAAATTGTAAGTCTGAGTACCACCAACTCCATTCTTTGGTGCCTATCGAATCATTTGCTTAAATTTTAATATCCAGTACAAATTTCATTTCTAGCAGCATTGACGTGTCATCTTAATCCTCGCACAACTTTGACTCTATTTTAACCTAGTTATAAGACCGCACTGTTTTCCACCTATCGATTATCTTCAACATTTTGAATTATTATTATTATTATTTCTTTTCATTATTTTTATCGTTTTGGCTACTTTGGCTTGTATTAATGAGCGGGCGTAATTTTTGGATAACTGGATACATCTGAATTTGACTAACATGCAATCCACTTTTCGATAATAGGTATTGGATCAAGCAGTTTCGGAGATCAATTTCTGGGTAGAGAAGTGTCTAAATTCAATTGAAATTTTGGGCTTGGGTTGTAAAATATTAAACTTTTTGTTTGTTTATGTATCGGAGTTAGAGGATTTGAATTTGACTCCTGAGTTGGAGTACTTAATTGGCGTCGAGATCATAACTAATTGACAGTTTCGTAATCAACATTGATATGATCGTGCATAACACAAAAGCACTTGGAAGATCAAAGTTCGCACAGTTCTGTGAGTTTTGTTCAGTTTTGCGCACAACTTTGACTCAATTTCCAGCGAAGTTATTAGACCACTTCCTATTCTACGACCGCTTACCACCTATCGAAATTTAACAATATATGTTATTTATATTTGTAAATAAACTTTATTGTAATTATTTTATTATTTTTATCATTGTTTGCAGAAATTAATTGTTGTAATTTTGGGATTGGTAGATTGACATCTACTAAGAAAATCATTCACTTTGTTCGTCTCAACAAGAAAGAACAGCAGAAATTGACTCCCAATAATCCTTTTGGTAGTTTGAAGAAATAAGTTACTGATCCATTTCCACTTGAGGTCAATCAAGATATCTGGACTAGTGCCATTGCTGGAAGCGAAAGACTGATCATTAGAAACTGAATATACCGTTTTGATAACATATTTACATGTATTTGAGCTTAGTGACCACTCTAATGCACCTTTTATTTTACCATTTTCAGAAAATTGGAACTTTGGACGTTGAGCTATTTTATGAAAATAAAGAAGGAGTTCTAACAAATGGAAAAAGTTGTGATGCTTGGCCGTTCAATCCACTTTGTGACATTTACTTCGAGATATGCGTAACTGATGAGGACGGTGTGCTGTAAGTTGATCAATTCGTTTTAATGTTTACTTTAATTTTGTTTTAATTCTTCAATTTACCTACTTGTTCACTTTAAATGGGAAATTTGTACCAATGAACAAATAACACTGCTGTTAGCTTAGAATACACGGAAATATGATGAGAAACTAAGAATTAACGGTAACTGAATTATTGTACTTCGGTTAAGGAAAAAATTGAAATGACTTTGACAAAATTTCTATTAATGTTGACTATTGACTATTGATTTAATTCTAGGCGGGATTCGTCCTGTAATCTTCACTCCGAAAAAACCAGCCCAGTTCGAAACACAGCCGCTATCAGTTATAAGTTTAAAGTATCATATTTCGAAAACAAACTGGTACGAAATTTTTTCAAATTAAATTTTAAGTGTAGCCTCACATTGAATTAATTACACATTTATGTATGCCTATTTTTCATTTGTAGTTAAAAATTAGAATTAAGGCACTGGATCATGATCGCTTTACTGAGGCGGATGAACTGGGAAAATTCATATTTCAGGTGCATCCATACGATGTGTCAAGTGTACTTCCGACACCACTAGCTGCTGACTCAACTTCGATTGCCCACCGTTCAACAAAGTAAGTTTTGATAAATTTTATTTAATACCACATCACGTTGAGATATATGCATATTTAACTCCAATAAGTCAGTAATTTGATATATGGTGTGAAGGATGGGAATATCGATTTTTGCGAGCACAGTGTTCGCGTGAATTGGTGACTTCGCTCACTTTGGTAGATCTGAATTCTTCGGTGATTTGGACGCTTAACCATTCATTCTTGAGGTTGCGTTGAAGTGGATGCATTCTACCTCAGTAACAAATAGTAATTTACTAGGAGAATAACTCACTGGTTGAATGGCAAAATTCATCACTATTTTAGAGATTCCTGTGAAGTGGAAACATTATGGCACAACTACACCCAAGGGGAAAGTGATTCTCAATCAACGAATGCATCGGAATGAGTTTGTGCCAGTCACCTGTGAGACAGTTAATGACTCTACCACAAGCGTATTTGCAAATTAATGAGTTGTTAGAATCAGTCGTTCATTGGAGCATTCGATTTACAAGCTCGGCAGTTCAATTGGTTTGGCACAGTACTTGAGGGCAATAGTAGTTGGTGTTGGGACCAAGTGGACTGGATATTCCATGGTGGAAGTTGTAATCTTCCCACAATCAAACCGAGTGGAGACGTTTTACATTGGCGGAAAAGACAACTGCCCGTGTGGAGGCCACAAGTAAATTGCATCAATTGAGACTGAATAAGAGGTGAAGGTGGAAAAGTGTGGGAGGTGGAGTTGAGAGGAAGGATG